TGCAAGACAAAGATATATCCGTATAACTTCCCTCATTCGCTCATACACAGAGATAGATTTATATAGGGTGTTCCAATTACTTGGACCGATTTTAAATGTGAATCAAGTTTAAGCGTCTAATGATTTTTTTCTTTTTCTTTCAGATTTGGCGGACATTTAGGAGATATTATTTTTCACACGTAATTGCCAAAACTTAAATATTATGAACCAATAGATAAATAAATAAATTTTCACAAATAACAACGATTTATTTACTGCTGACTTTGATCCGTCTTAATGAAACACCCTTATATATAACCCGTCTTAATGAAACATCCTATATATATATATATATATATATATATATATGCCCCCTATATATATATATATATATATATATATATATATATATATATATATATATAAATATGTGTTCCTATAACTGGGACCGATTCTAAATATGAATCAAGTTTAAGCGTCTAATGATTTTATCTTTTAGATTTGTCGGATATTTGGGCGATATTATTTTTCACATATAACTGCCATGACTTAAATAACATGATCCAATAGAGAAATAAATAAATTCTCACCAATAACACTGATTTATTTACTGCTGACTTTGATCCGTCTTAATGAAACACACCCTTATATATAATTCGTCTTAATGAAACATCTTATATATATATATATATATATATATATATATATATATATATATACCCCCATATATATATATATATATATATATATATATATATATATATATAAGCGTCTTTTTTTTTTTGATTTTTTTTTTTGCTTTCAGATTTGGTGGATATTTGGGCGACATTATTTTTCACATATAATCGCCATGACTTAAATAACATGATCCAGTAGAGAAATAAATAATTATTTTCACCAATAACACTGATTTATTAACTGCTGATTTTGATCCGTCTTAATGAAACACCCTCATATATATTTAGTTGAAGCCACAAAATTGTGTTCAAAATATTTAGATTTCGGTAACAAATAACCAATAGAGGTATTAATATGCCACTAAACAAAATTATTTACGTCGGCAATATTCTATTATTATTACACAATGAGCGATCAGAAGTTTAACAAAGTGTGTATAGTGTAGTTACAATGTTTATCATTGTCTGACTGGAACTCTCTTTTATTGCTGGTACAGAAGTCAATGTCTGAAATGTCCTTTTCTCGATCTAAATAACATTAGAAAACACAACAAACTCATTATTCTGAAAGACAGTGAATGTCGACAAACCTCGTTATATATATATATATATATATATATATATATATATATATATATATAAAAAGGCTGTTTCAATAACTTGGACCGATTTTAAATATGAATTAATGTCTAATAATTTTTTTCTTTTTCTTTCAGATTTAAGAACTTAAGTCTTTGGTAGTTTCAACCATGGAAAAATGAACAATTAAACAACGTGTTAAAGTCATCGAAGCCTATTACGAAAATGGACGTTCAAACAGAAATGCATTTTGCGCACTTCGCGATTTTTTTTGGTCAACATAATCGACCAACCGAGAGGGCAATTGGAAAAATTGTTCATAAATTCAAAGAAACTGGGTCTGTGGCAGATGTGAAAAGGCCAGTGCGTGCTTGTTTAAACCGTTCAGCTGAAAACATTCCTGCGGTTCACGAGAATGTGTTCGAAAATCCAGACACCTCTATTCGTCATCGCGCGCAGGAATTGAAACTCTGCGCAACAATGTTACATCGAATGTTGACAAAAGATTTGTTTCTACACGCTTACAAAATTCATTTGATACAAAAACTGAAACCTGTTGGTCATTTGGAACGCCGTACATTCGTCAACTGAGTGCACGAGCAAAGACAAGCCGATGAAGATTTTTCGCAAAAAAAATCCTCTTTAGTGATGAAGCCTATTTTCATCTTGGTGGATTCGTTAATAAACAGAATTGTCACATTTGGGCTGATGAAAATCCAATGAAGATTGTTGAAAAGGTCACTGTTTGATCTGCATTCTTTTGCTAGCGGAATCATTGGGGTGTATATTTATAAATTTGCACGTCCATTTTTACTAATAGGTTTTGATAACTTTAACCCGTTTGATCGTTAATCTTTCCACTGTTGAAATTGTCAAAGACTTATGTTGTTAAAACTAAAAGAAGAAAAATAAAATCATTAGACGCTTAAATTTAATTCACATTTAAAATCGGACCAAGTTATTGAAACAACCTATACATACACTGATAAACGAACTCAATAGGAATTTGAACATCTTTGTCTCTACCTATTTGGAACGCCGTACATTCGTCAATTGGATTCACGAGCAAAGACAGGCCGATGAAGATTTTTCGCAAAAAATCCTCTTTAATGATGAAGCCCATTTTCATCTTGGTCGATTAGTTAATAAGCAGAATTATCGCATTTGGGCTGCTGAAAATCTAAGGAAGATTGTTGAAAAGGTCATTGCATCCACAAAAGATCACTGTTTGGTGTGCGTTTTTTGCTAGAAGAATCATTGGGCCGTATATTTATAAATTTGAACGTCCATTTTTTTTCTAATAGGCTTCGATAACTTTAACACGTTGTTTGATTGTTAATCTTTCCATGGTTGAAATAAACAAAGTCTTAAGTTGTTAAATTGTTAAGAAAAAGAAAAAAAAATCCTTAGATGCTTAAACTTAATTCAGATTCGGCCCAAGTTATTGGAACACCCTATACATACACAGGGAAACAAACCTAATAGGAATTGAACATATCTGTACCTATCTATCACTTTCTCAAACACATCTTTAGAAATAATTGTACCAGATTAAAGATTTTATATTAGAACGGAAATTTGCGTTAGAAACAAAGAAAAGTGTATTTACTTTCTATGGGATATCCATCATCTTATATGGCAGTGAATGTTAGACAATTTCCCCATAGATGAGGAAAAAAACTAGAAGTATCAGAAATGTGGTTCTACAGAAGGATACTGAGAATTCCATGAACAGAACGAGTAAGCGACAAGGAAGTCTTAAATAAAATGGCAACAAAATGAACGCTTATACTCAAACTTAGGAAAAGACAACTGAAATTCCTTGGACCCATAACGGGGAAGGAAGGCATGGAAAAATTAACCCTCACTGGGCGTACTGAGGGAAAGAGTTATAAAGAAAGTGTATCGATCCAGTTATCCGCCGAGCTTGTGTGAATGAACGGCAGAATGGCGGACGGAGGAATTAGGAAAGAGAGAAAATCTGCTAAGAGCCACATGAGATAGGAAATTGTGGAGAGCCATGATCGCCTGCAGGGACGCGGCATATAAGAGAAGAAGAAGAGATATCAGAACAATGCTTGGTAATTGAATGGCAAAGTGAAAAAATTCTAAGGCGTTTTCGTCCAGCAAGAGGTCTTCATTGGACTTCATCCAAAACAAACTAATAACAACCCAAAATCTGAAGCATAAATTCACACTATAGCCTGTAATAATTGTCGCAAAAGATACATAGGAGAGACTTCGAGGAAATTAAATAAAGATTATCTGAACACAAAGGGGATCTTTTACAAAACAACATACTCAATGTAAGAGTCGTTCATCGTAATGAATCTGACCATAATTTTGATTAAAAAAAACACTGCTGTAATTTCTTTTAATAGTTTCACCGCAATCAAGACTATAATTCCACCAGAACGTGACCGTCCTGAGTATGACGATAAACTACATCCGCGTCCCGGGTAAGACGATAAACTACATCCAACATCAAACCCTCTGATCAGGAGGTTTTGAGGAGCGTGGAGTCACCTCTTAATTGCTGATGTTCCCAGGTCCACCTGACCCGGAGTAGTAGCGGCTGTTACGGTCCCAGCTATGGCTAAATAGTTATCCCCAAACTGGGGTCAAAACACTATGAAAGTGTAAAAATAAATCTTACTACCAGAAATACTTTGCAAAAAATTATTACTAGCAATAAATTTTTGAAGAAAAAAATTACCAGTAATACATTTTTGAAAAAAATATTACCGGCAATACGTTTTGGAAAGAAAAATATTACCAGCAATATATTTTTGGAAAAAATATTACCAACTATATATTTTGGAAAAAAAATATTACCAGCTATACATTTTTTTGAAAAAAATATTACCAACGATACATTTTTGAAGAAAAAATAATACCAGAAATAGATTTTTTGAAGGAAAAAAATATTACCAGCAACACATTATTACCAGCAATATATTTCTGGAAAAAAAATATTTCTAGCCATAAAAATCTTGTCGACATTAAATAACCCATTGAAGTTGATATGCTGTAAAACAAAACAAACCAAAGCAAACCAAACCAAAGCAAACCAAACCAAAGCAAACCAACCAGAATGTGAAAATTTAGAGTAAGAGCTTAAAACAGGTGCAGACTTTTTTCAAAATAAGTATATTTTTTAATATACATACTTGTTACTCAACTCACATTTATGTCAAAATACGTAACGGCAGCAAATCAGCGTGCATCTATTTAATTATTTTATTATTTACAATCAACTCATCTAAATTTATATACATAAAACAATATTTACAGCTTTTGAGATAGGCTTTGAATCCGTTAAAATCTTGAAACTTTGGATGAAACTTGAATTTGGAACGCAACAAATTCGGAACACCATATCTTTATTTAGTGATGAAGCTTTAATAAATGTGAAACATGTTAAATTGCTAACCGTTTCCTATTTGTTCTTTATCTTTATATATATATATATATATATATATATATATATATATATATATATAGGCAGAGAGAGAAAGAGAGCGTTAGATAGATATAAAGATAGATAGAGAGGGAGAGAGAGGAAGGGACATTTGAAAACATTATTTATAATTATACATAGATAGGAAATGCTGAAGAGGTAGAGAGATACGTAGTTAGATAGACAGATAGAGAGATATTGAGGGAGGGAGAGAGAGTGTGAACGAGAGCAAAGAGGGAAATTTGAAAAAAAACATCGTTTATAATCATACATTGATCGGAAATGCTGAAGATATAGAAAGATAGCTAGATAGATAGATAGCTAGAAAGAGAGAGAGAGAGAGAGAGAGAGAGAGAATTGGAGAGAGAGTGAGAGAGTGTGAAAGAGAGAGAAGAGGGAAAATTTAAAAAAGGGACATCGTTTAAAATTATATATTGATAGAAAATGCTGAAGATGTAGATAGATAGATAGATAGATAGATAGATGGAGAGAGAGAGAATTGGAGAGAGAGAGAGAGACAGAGAAGAGGGAAAATAAAAAAAATATCGTTTAAAATTATATATTGATAGAAAATGCCGAAGATGTAGAAAGATAGCTAGATAGATAGATAGATAGATAGATAGCTGGAGAGAGAGAGAATTGGAGAGAGAATGAGAGAATTGGAGAGAGAATGAGAGAGAGAGAGAGAGAGTGAGAGAGAGAGAGAAGAGGGAAAATAAAAAAATATCGTTTAAAATTATATATTGATAGAAAATGCCGAAGATGTAGGAAGATAGCTAGATAGATAGATAGATAGATAGATAGCTGGAGAGAGAGAGAATTGGAGAGAGAATGAGAGAATTGGAGAGAGAATGAGAGAGAGAGAGAGAAGAGGGAAAATAAAAAAAATATCGTTTAAAATTATATATTGATAGAAAATGCTGAAGGTGCAGGGACATTAAATTTTGAATTCAATCTTAAAATTACTGGAGTCCGATGTGTCTAGACGTACAACTTAGCCAATTTCATTTAGCTTCCCAATGCCTTTTTTTTTTGTTTATTTTTTATTTTACTGCAGCTGTTTTTAAATATCCTTTTTTAACAAATCTACTGCTATCATAGTGTGGGATGTTAAAAAAGACAACGATAAAAAAGAAAAAAAAGAAGCTTTCGAGTTTTGGTTTCACGTTTTCCGCCATCTGTTAAAAGAATTGCCCGATAGGAAAATTGATGGATTTGCCTGATTTTGGCGTCTCTAATTCGTGGCTCGCGTCTTAGGTTCTGTATATTCCTGTCAAATGTCTGCTGATTAACTCCAGATATTGAATGACACTATTTCCAGGATTTTTCCAATACCCAGCTTTATCATAGTTTGAGGATTTAAAAAAAAAAAAATATCGACTTTATAATCTTACGATTTAGACTTGGCTCAATATGATTCTCTAACTCTCATGAACAAAACAATAATTTTTATGTCCTGCAATTTTCTTGGCTCTCGAGCAGGATCGTGGTATTTCCACAGCACTTTAGCTTTTTAAAAAATAATTTCACCCCGACGCAAGAGGCAAGAGTCCCGTACATTGAATACTGTTGCCATATCTGGCCTGCTGCTCTTGTTATTTATCTTGAGGTTCTTGACAAAATCCAAAGAAAGATCTGTAATTGATGTGGGCCCAAAGTTGGGACCACGGAAGGAAAACACGGAACAAGGATTACAGGCAAGAAAGATATATTAAACAAAAAGGTTACAAAGATAGTGTAAGTATAAGCGGAGCTTACTATGTGCTAGTGTCCAATATTGGTAGTCGTACGCGGCTGATACTACGGTATTAGAATACTCTTTCTCCTCCTCTTCTTCTTCTCTCTTAGAGTGTTATGTCGCATACTTTATATAGTCCTGGAAGAGTCCATGTTGTAGATATGTTACGGTCTCACAATAGTAATGTAGAGAGATTTTCCAAGCGTAGCTTAGATGTGGCACGCTATTTATCAACCCACCCACAAGGATTGAATATGGCACAAGGCCGGTTTAGTGTGGGTATCCCCGAGCCCGTAGGCTCGGACAAAAATATAGCCTTTTTAGAACCGCATTGACGGATTCAGGCCCTGTCTACACCCCCGAACGAAACCTTGCCCTTCGGCAGAGCTTCGTCCGGGTTCCTCTCTGCTAATGCAGAGAGTTTGACAGTCGTCGCTTACAGTCAAAGACTGTATCACGACAGCTAGACTCGGAGGTCTGGCTCTATTTTTTTCAAGCGTAGCTCGGATGTGGCACAAGGCCGAAAGTATGGGGCACCCAGTGAGGATCGAACTCACTTTTCAGTAGTAACTGCTCTAGCAAGACAAAAGAAAAGATCTGTAATGTAATCGATCCTGACCAGTCATCTTGACTTCAGTCACTTTCTCACCGAGGTGACATGGCTTCGTTCTGTCTTCTCTACATATATTTTTATGATAACGAGCTTTTTTTTTTTTTGTCCTGGTGCCTCGAATACGTGAATTTAAGCGTGCTACTAGAGTGGCATTTCGGTCCCAGCCTTTTACTGTTGAACTAGCTAAATGCAACCACCACTTCTCCTACAACAGTTTCTTTTCTCGCGCTTCCCGCCTGCGAAACTCCCTTCCGTTTATTTGTTTCCCTCATAACTACAATCTTAAAAAAAACTAAATGCAACGTCAATCGACATCTTCTATCTTCTTGAATCCCGTTCATCTTTTGTCCTTTCCTCAATCCTCACTAGACTCAGTCTTTTCTTTCATTTTCTCTCCCTGTAACCCCCTGTGTACTAGTGGCATTTCCCACTTGCTTGAAAGAGGAAAGATTTTTAAAAATACAAGAAAAACACCATGAAGAAGAAAAATCAATTAAAAAAACAAGAATTAAGAAGACAATAGATAACGATTGGCACTGCATTGTAATTTATGAAGGTCAAAGTTGACTGGGAAACAAGAGGGTTCCACAAGCCAGAAGTGCGATAGAAGAAACTATTAGCATAGAACTTACGGTTGCATCCAGTCATTTTAACTGTAAAATGATGAGACCTAGCCACAAGGAATTTAGCCATTCTTCTATATACATGGTGCCCCTTAAGGACGTAGGCGATTATGGCTCTCTGCAGTTTCCTTAATAAATTTTGTTTTCTTGCTAATTCTCCTGAACCTTGTTCCGCCATCCATTTACTCAAGCTCATTGAATATTCTTTCTTCTTACAGTTAATACATAATCCTTTCTTCTCACTGTCTTTTCGGTAGGAACAAATGTAGTTTCCTTTCTGTGTCTGCTATCAATATTGTTCCATCTGCATATCACTTTGTTATCATTTCACCCCAAGCAAGGCAATAGAGCGACTAAGATTCAAGGGGTTACTGAGTGCTAGAGTGTATGAGAAGAGAGAAAGGAAGGAAATTGCAATTAAGGTGAGGGAGAATAATAAAAGAATAAGAATTAGTTACGCAAAGTTCTTTTTTATGATGTCCTCACTTGGGAGTAACGCCTTTGCCTCAGCTGGTAAGTTAATCCAGATTAACTTACTTTTTATGTTCTTGATGCATTTCATGAATGCAATAGCTGCATAATCAGGAGAGTATTTGTGGATTTTAACTGGTACAGGATCAGTCATAACTAGGCTCGTGGTCATGGTACCATTAAAAAAAGATGATCTCTTAACACATCTCCATCTGATAGTAGTTGATCTTGCAATCCGTTTTGTGTACATGTATATTTGGAAGCAAATTTCTTTTCCTTTATTACTTGCTATAACTTCTTTGATCGCGTTGTGATAAAGTCACTGATTGACAACTGAACCAGGAGTCAACTGGCGTCTGTTTAGAAAGTTACTGGTTCAATATTTATATATTTTTTCAGAATTTACTAAATAGATAACGTGTAACTTTTAATTTTTTTTCTTGTCTGTTTTCACTTTGGGCTATTATTTCCTATTTTTCCCACTTGTGTCATTTTTACCCGTACCATTTTACATGTGTCATTTTTACCCGTACCATTTTACATGTGGCATTTTACCCGTACCATTTTACACGTGGCATTTTTACGATGCCATTTTTACATGTGGCATTATTACCAAAATTCATGCTTGGTAAATAATCCGAAAGGAACTTCTAAAATTGATCATTGCCAACCTCAGCTGTTTTATTCAACCAGGGAGCCTTGTTCTGGGATGCAATGGACCGTATTAGTTTACTTCACTAGTACAACTACGTAGCCAAGTTTTTTTTTTAATCATTTCACCTCCAAGCAAAGTCTGACCTGGGTATGACGATAAACTACATCCGCGTCCTTGGTAAGACGATAAACTACGTCCAGCAGCAAGGAGGTTTTGAGGAGCGTGCAACCACCTCTTCATTGCTGATGTTCCCAGGTCCACCCTGACCCGGAGTAGTAGCACCTGTTAGGGTCCTAGCTATGGGCAAATAGTTAACCCCTAAACTGGGGCCAAAACACCATGAAAGTGTAAAAACATCTTTTCATGCCAGAAATACTTTGTAAAGAATTATTACCAGCAATAAATTTTTTGAAGGGAAAAATTATTACCAGCTAGACATTTTTGAAAAAAAATAATACCAGCAATACATTTTTGGAGGAAAAAAAAATAATATATTACCACCAATAAAAATTGTCGGCATTGAATAGCCCATTGAGGCTGATATGCCGTAAATCAAACCAAACCAACTCCAAGCCAAGCGATAAAACCCTAGAACGTAAGGGGTTACTAATTGTTGGAGAAAAAAAAAACCTACTATTCAGGAGAAAGACAAAGGATAAGAATTAACTCGGCAATAATTAACGATTGACATTGCATTTGAAATTTTGTGAAGATCAGTGTTGACTAGGAATCGAGAGACCGGAAGAGAGTTTCAAAGCTTCCTTTCATTTTCTTAAGAGACTTTCGCTTTCACGACGATCATGTAACAGAACCGAATCGTGACATACAAAAACAAAGAACAGTTTATTCTACGTGATGGCCGTAATCCTGATACCGGAGCGAAATGTGTAGTTATCCTTATGTCATATCATCGTGCAAACGTATATCCTCGTTTCGTCTATATCGCAGCTGTACATGCCAATGAACATAGCTGAGATTCTAAAATCGTTTACGAATAACCGTTCATATAGTCAAAATGGTGGACTCACTAGAGAGTTGTAACATGATGAGCGCAAATACCTCAACTAAATATTATTTACACTCAGGGGAGGAAAACGAGCAAAAAAAAAATAAATTAAAGAGCTCTACGTTGCACTTGATGAACGAATATTAATTCAATAATTTAATTCGTATTTTAAGCTGACGGTGTACCACTTGAAAAAAGTGATAAATTCCCCCCTGCCGAACGCCTTTGAAGTGTCGCTCTTCAAAAGAGGAGAACAGATAAAGTCGGGACGCCTCGTCTGTGAAAAATTTACGTGGTAAGCGGAATATCCTGGCAACGCTAAGTCTTCTGCTTAATGTTAACTGCCAGATGGTAAATGTCTGCTTCAAGAGAGTCAAATGTCAACGCTATGACTTCCTTATTTATGTTTAGGTCAGTTAATTACTTTTAAAGGTAGACGGACGTACATGACAGCCACTTTTTTCAACTAAATTTTATCAAAGCCTGAAATAGTTATATATATATATATATATATATATATATATATATATATATATATATATATATATAGAGAGAGAGAGAGAGAGAGAGAGAGAAATAAAAATAAAGTAGACAGTTTGATATGGACAGAAGTACATAGTTATAAACAATCTGATACAGACAGTTTTATAATAAACAATATATATATATATATATATATATATATATGTGTGTGTGTGTGTATGGTGTGTGTGTGTGTGCGCGCGTGCGTATATATATATATATATATATATATATTTATAGAGATAGATAGATAGAGAGATAATGAACAGACTGTGATAGATAGATAGATAGATAGATAGATAATGAACAGACTGTGATAGATAGATAGATAGATAGATAGATAGATAGATATGAACAGACTGAGATAGATAGATAGATAGATAAGGAACAGACTGTGATAGATAGATAGATAGATAGATAGATAGATAGATAGATAGATAGATAGATATGAACAGACTGAGATAGATAGATAGATAGATAGATAGATAGATAGATAGATAGATAGATAGATAGATAATGAACAGACTGTGATAGATAGATAGATAGATAGATAGATAGATAGATAGATAGATAGATAGATAGATAGATAGAAAGAAAATGAACAATAATGTCATAGATTTATTGCAGGTTTTATTTTACTATTTGGAGCAGATTTTTGGGGAAAGCAATAACTATTTGAAAAAGAAAACAGATGATTTAAATTCTTCAAGGTATCCTGCGTGTAACTAATAAAAGAAAGTGTGAGGTCAGAAATTAATTCGTGAAATTCCATGAAATTAAGTAAGTGGATGGTAACAAATATAAAAAAAAATATATTTTTACCACGATTTTCTAAAAATTTTCAGTTCACAAATAAATTCATGCATTTGTGAATAAGTCCTGAAAGTTTCATTAAAATCCGACAATTTGATTTTTGCAAGAATCTCCAAATCAGTGTCTTATTTTACCAGAAAATGGTCGGTAAAACGCCTATAGACAGCACTGTTACACCGTTGATGCATCAAAAACAAGATTTTTAACCAAAATTTCGAACGTGTTAGAAAGAAATAAAAAATACTTTCGTCTTTTCTCTTAATTATAGCATAAACATTTTGACGATAAAACTTTGTTTTTATTAAGATTGCGGCCTTTTTCATCACGCTATGCTATTTTCCCAGCTATGGGTTAAATAACAAGTCAGACTGAGTTCTTTGGCAACCAGTCTACCGCAGAAAGAAATGGCAACCTACTGTGGGTAAAATCTAAGACTGACTGATGCTGTTTCTTTTTTAGCGTAAACGTGGAGGTACCTACGATAAAGAGATAGACAGATAATGAACAGAGATAGATTATCAGAGATATGACAAGACACAGATAGATAGATAGATAGATAGATAGATAGATAGATAGATAGATAGATACCAACCGACTATCACAGATTTTACAGATGTACACATGTAGTAAGAACTTTTGAAAGTAATTTACATTTGGAACGCTATTTTTTCTAGAGTTAACTCCTAAATTCAATAATGAACATTTAATCTGGATGGAAGGAAAAGGGCGTCTAGCAAACCTGGTTAATATGATCTCTTCAAACTTTAGCGATGCAACACTCAGTATTTATATATGCAAAACACTAGAGAGGAACCGAAGACATGTGCTCTTAATTAACGGGTCGCACGCCGAAATAGAGTCCAGCCGCTTGTTTCTGACCTGGCATCTCGGTTTAAGTCACTTTCCTACCGCCGTAACGTGGCTTCTCTGTGCCTCTTCTATATGATGGTTATTGAGTGAGATTGTAAGGGACAGGTGCTCCTGTTATATATTTAGAGATTCTTGATAAAATCCAAAGAAGAATCAGCAATATTATTGGTCCTGACCTGGCATCTCGGCTTCAGTCACTTTCCTACCGCAGTAACGTAGCTTCTCTGTGCCTCTTCTATATGATGGTTATTGAGTGAGATTGTAAGGGACAGGTGCTCCTGTTATATATTTAGAGATTCTTGATAAAATCCAAAGAAGAATCAGCAATATTATTGGTCCTGACCTGGCATCTCGGCTTCAGTCACTTTCCTACCGCCGTAACGTGGCTTCTCTGTGCCTCTTCTATATGATGGTTATTGAGTGAGATTGTAAGGGACAGGTGCTCCTGTTATATATTTAGAGATTCTTGATAAAATCCAAAGAAGAATCAGCAATATTATTGGTCCTGACCTGGCATCTCGGCTTCAGTCACTTTCCTACCGCCGTAACGTGGCTTCTCTGTGCCTCTTCTATATGATGGTTATTGAGTGAGACTGTAAGGGAAAGGTGCTCCTGTTATATATTTAGAGATTCTTGATAAAATCCAAAGAAGAATCAGCAATATTATTGGTCCTGACCTGGAATCTCGGCTTCAGTCACTTTCCTACCGCCGTAACGTAGCTTCTCTTTGTCTCTTCTATATGATGGTTATTGAGTGAGATTTTAAGGGAAAGGTGTTTCTGTTATATATTTAGAGATTCTTGATAAAATCCAAAGAAGAATCAGCAATATTATTGATCCTGACCTGGCATCTCGGCTTCAGTTACTTTCCCACAGCCGTAATGTGGCTTCTCTGTGCCTTTTCTTCATCGTAATTGTTCTGGTGAACTTTCCTCTATATAACCGAGACTAAGAATTTAGGCGCAGTACTAGATTGGCGGCAAGAACTCATCAATTTATAGTCAAATTGGCTAGATGTAACCGTAAGTTCTATAGGAACAATTTCTTCTCAGGTATTCCTCGCTTGTTGGAAACTCTTCTGACTTCTTGCTTTCCAATCAACTTTGCTCTTCAAAAATTTAAATGCAATGTCAATCGTTATCTACTATTTTTTGATACCTCTCCTTTTATTGTTAACGATCCCTAGTAATATTTTTCATTTTTCTTCTACTTTCACACGCAGTAACTCCTCGTGTTTTAGTGGCATTACTGCCTTGCTTGGGGTGAAAAGATTAATAAAAAAATACATTACATAAGTGCAGATAGTTTCTGATCAACACTAGACCAACATTTCTTCGATATAATAAATGCGAATGTCAGGGTTAGGCCGTAACCCAACATTACTCCTAGAGGCTGTAACCCAACATTACTTCTAGAGGCTGTAGCCCAACATTACTCCTAGAGGCCGTAGACCAACATTATTCTAGAGGCTGTAGCCCAACATTACTCCTAGAGGCCGTAACCCAACATTACTCCTAGATGCCCGAGCCCAAAATTACTTCTCGAGGCTGTAGCCCAACATAACTCCTAGAGGCCGTAACCCAACATTACTCCTAGAGGCTGTAACCCAACGTTACTTCTAGAGGCTGTAACCCAACATTACTCCTAGAGGCCGTAGCCCAACATTACTTCTAGAGGCTGTAGCCCAACATTACTCCTAGAGGCCGTAGACCAACATTATTCTAGAGGCTGTAGCCCAACATTACTCCTAGAGGCCCGAGCCCAAAATTACTTCTCGAGGCTGTAGCCCAACATTACTCCTAGAGGCCGTAACCAAACATTACTCCTAGAGGCCCGAGCCCAAAATTACTTCTCGAGGCTGTAGCCCAACATTACTCCTAGAGGCCGTACCCAACATTACTCCTAGAGGCCCGAGCCCAAAATTACTTCTCGAGGCTGTAGCCCAATATTACTCCTAGAGGCCGTACCAACATTACTCCTAGAGGCCTGAGCCCAAAATTACTTCTCGAGGCTGTAGCCCCACATTACTCCTAGAGGCCGTAACCCAACATTACTCCTTGATGCCTGAGCCAAAATTACTTCTCGAGGCTGTAGCCCAACATTACTCCTAGAGGCTGTACCCACATTACTCCTAGAGGCCCAAGACCAAAATTACTTCTCGAGGCTGTAGCCCAACATTACTCCTAGAGGCCGTAACCCATAATTACTCCTAGAGGCTGTAACCCAACGTTACTTCTAGAGGCTGTAACCCAACATTACTCCTAGAGGCCGTAACCCAACATTACTCCTAGAGGCCCGAGCCCAAAATTACTTCTCGAGGCTGTAGCCCAACATTACTCCTAGAGGCTGTACCCAACATTACTCCTAGAGGCCTGAGCCCAAAATTACTGAGGCTGTAGCCCAACATTACTCCTAGAGGCCTTAACCCAACATTACTCCTAGAGGCCTGAGCCCAAAATTATTTCTCGAGGCTGTAGCCCAACATTACTCCTAGAGGCCCAAGACCAAAATTACTTCTCGAGGCTGTAGCCCAACATTACTCCTAGAGGCCGTAACACAACATTACTCCTAGAGGCTGTAACCCAACGTTACTTCTAGAGGCTGTAACCCAACATTACTCCTAGGAGGCCGTAACCCAACATTACTCCTAGAGGCTGTAACCCAACGTTACTCCTAGAGGCCGTAGCCCAACATTACTTCTAGAGGCTGTAGCCCAACATTACTCCTAGAGGCCTGAGCCCAAAATTACTTCTCGAGGCTGTGGCCCAACATTACTCCTAGAGGCCGTAACCCAACATTACTCCTAGAGGCCCAAGCCCAAAATTACTTCTCGAGGCTGTAGCCCAACATTACTCCTAGAGGCCGTACCCAACATTACCCTAGAGGCCTGAGCCCAAAATTACTTCTCGAGGCTGTAGCCCAACATTACTCCTAGAGGCCTTAACCCAACATTACTCCTAGAGGCCCGAGCCCAAAATTATTTCTCGAGGCTGTAGTCCAACATTACTCCTAGAGGCCCAAGACCAAAATTACTTCTCGAGGCTGTAGCCCAACATTACTCCTAGAGGCCGTAACCCAACATTACTCCTAGAGGCTGTAACCCAACGTTACTTCTAGAGGCTGTAACCCAACATTACTCCTAGAGGCCGTAACCCAACATTACTCCTAGAGGCTGTAACCCAACGTTACTCCTAGAGGCCGTAGCCCAACATTACTTCTAGAGGCTGTAGCCCAACATTACTCCTAGAGGCCCGAGCCCAAAATTACTTCTCGAGGCTGTAGCCCAACATTACTCCTAGAGGCCGTAACCCAACATTACTCCTAGAGGCTGTAACCCAACGTTACTTCTAGAGGCTGTAACCCAACATTACTCCTAGAGGCCGTAACCCAACATTACTCCTAGAGGCCGTAACCCAACATTACTCCTAGAGGCTGTAACCCAACGTTACTCCTAGAGGCCGTAGCCCAACATTACTTCTAGAGGCTGTAACCCAACGTTACTCCTAGAGGCCGTAGCCCAACATTACTTCTAGAGGCTGTAGCCCAACATTACTCCTAGAGGCCGTACCCAACATTACTCCTAGAGGCCCGAGCCCAAAATTACTTCTCGAGGCTGTAGCCCCACATTACTCCTAGAGGCCGTAACCCAACATTACTCCTTGATGCCCGAGCCAAAAATTACTTCTCGTGGCTGTAGCCCAACATTACTCCTAGAGGCCGTACCCAACATTACTCCTAGAGGCCCAAGACCAAAATTACTTCTCGAGGCTGTAGCCCAACATTATTCCTAGAGGCCGTAACAAATAATTACTCCTAGAGGCTGTAACCCAACGTTACTTCTAGAGGCTGTAAGCCAACATTACTCCTAGAGGCCGTAGCCCAACATTACTTCTAGAGGCTGTAGCCCAACATTACTCCTAGAGGCCGTAGACCAACATTATTCTAGAGGCTGTAGCCCAACATTACTCCTAGAGGCCCGAGCCCAAAATTACTTCTCGAGGCTGTAGCCCAACATTACTCCTAGAGGCCGTAACCCAACATTACTCCTAGAGGCTGTAACCCAACGTTACTTCTAGAGGCTGTAACCCAACATTACTCCTAGAGGCCGTAACCCAACATTACTCCTAGAGGCTGTAACCCAACGTTACTCCTAGAGGCCGTAGCCCAACATTACTTCTAGAGGCTGTAGCCCAACATTACTCCTAGAGGCCCGAGCCCAAAATTACTTCTCGAGGCTGTAGCCCAACATTACTCCTAGAGGCCGTAACCCAACATTACTCCTAGAGGCCCGAGCCCAAAATTACTTCTCGAGGCTGTAGCCCAACATTACTCCTAGAGGCCTTAACCCAACATTACTCCTAGAGGCCCGAGCCCAAAATTACTTCTCGAGGCTGTAGCCCAACATTACTCCTAGAGGCCGTAACCCAACATTACTCCTAGAGGCTGTAACCCAACGTTACTTCTAGAGGCTGTAACCCAACATTACTCCTAGAGGCCGTAACCCAACATTACTCCTAGAGGCTGTAACCCAACGTTACTCCTAGAGGCTGTAGCCCAACATTACTCCTAGAGGCCCGAGCCCAAAATTACTTCTCGAGGCTGTAGCCCAACATTACTCCTAGAGGCCGTAACCCAACATTACTCCTAGAGGCTGTAACCCAACGTTACTTCTAGAGGCTGTAATCCAACATTACTCCTAGAGGCTGTAGCCCAACATTACTCCTA